GTTAAATTAAAGAAGCAAACCTCATTTAGTCAGCTGCTTGATTTGGAAGTGGGAAAAGAAAAGGGATAGGGATTGAAAAGAATTAGAGTGATCATGAAGATAGTCTATTTTGATTCGCATCTTTAGACTCAAATGATTTTACATTATTGGTTTTCATTCATTAATATAACATTACTAATGGAAGGTTGTAAGGGTAAGGTTAGGAAAATATCACTCGTCACCGGCTTGAGCTTCAATATCAGGATACATGTATGTATTATCCTTGCAAGAATGGAAGTAGTCATCACATACAGAGCTGCGCAGCGTGGGACAAAATAGTTCCCAGAACAGTATCCTTCAAATACCTTAAATACAAGAGAGGGTGTATCACAGTCACAAGATGCAGAATACCGGTTCAAAGCAGTATTCAATGTTTAGTTCAGATCAGCGAAGGCCCACGTAAGCAATAAACATGGCAGTCCTATGTCTATCTCCATAGAAGCGGAATCATCATGTTAATGGTTGTCACATAGCTATCATATGCCTAAAACAGTGTGTCCTGACGCTCTTCTAGGTAATCATACATCCTGCTACGTACACAGCTACGTATGGCCTTTCTTATCATGAGCTACTCTGATATTAGAAGAGTACATTCAGTATTTTCCCAACAGGTAACACATTTTGAATATAATTGAATTGGACTTGGTTGTAAAAACAGTCAGTGGTGGAATGTACCTAAGTACATTTACTCAAGTGCTGTACTTACGTACAATTGTGAAGTACTTGTACTTTACTTGAGTATTTCCATTTGTAGCTACTTTGTACAATTCAGAGGTAAATCTTGGACTTTTACATTTATTCAATAACTTTAGTTACTTGACAGATTTGGATAAATAATGTGAAATAAAATCAACTCTTAAATCAGACCTGGAGTAAATCCAGCTACCTTGCAGCATACAAAGTCATTAAAATATAGCTGCACCTTTACCAGCGTTGATAAGGGTTATTATAATAAAAATCATATCATATATATTCTGAAATGGTCCAATCTGCATATTAAGTACTTTTACTTTTGGTACTTTAAATATATTTTGATGCTAACACTTTTGTACTTTTACTTGAGTAACATTTTGAATGCAGGACTTTTATTTGTAACAGAGTATTCCTACACTCTGGTTCTTCTACTTTTAATTAAAAACACAATCTGAGTACTTCTTCCAGCTCTGAAAACAGTCCTTATATTTTCTGTAATTTTCTTTTTTAAGTTGTATCAGTTACTGGCAGGAAGTTAACATACAAAGTGAGTGCTTTGAAAGAGAAATACAGTTACATAAATAAATAAACTAAATGTATGTCGATTGTCTGCTTTGCCTTTGCCCCTTGGGATGCAGGAAAGTTTCGTTTTACACTCCTTTTGAAGAAAAACGAAAGTGAAACCTATAAGAAACATCAGGCTCCCGCGCATCTGCATACGTAAGCAAACTGGGCATGGCTACCAAAGATTGGCCACAACGATTGGCTAAGGGAGGGTTTATAAGCAGCCACTTCATACAGTTTTCAAAAACCCGTGCAGAAAGAAGAAGAGAAGGATAATATTGAGCAACAAACAAATGTTCCTGACAAAAAGATTTTACAAAATTCATGACGTTTTTTTCAAAGATGCAACCTGGATTCAGTATTGATGCAGCATTGGACGGTAGACCTTGGCCATCTTTCCTAAAACACCGTCTTAAGGACCACCATAATCAATATGCATATGCTGAAGTTTTAATGAAAAATGGTGAAAGAATTAAGAGTACATTTGTTTATCCAGATCATCGTAACAATTCAGCTTCCTCCACCAAATTGACCAAACACAGTGAGGAAACTTTAATTGAAGAAATTGATAAATTATTAAAGGAATTTGGAATCGAAGTTCGAAAGATTTTTATATATACCTATTATAGTCCATGTTTAAAGAGAGGAAAGAAATATTGTGACTGTATGACTCAACTTTATCAGAATGCCTATCAATGGTACAGTACATTTGGCATTGTGACTGTAGTGTACTTCTCAGAGCCTTGGGGACTAAGTGGACCAGATATCTTTAAAGACTTAAAGTATTCTGACATCTCAAGTACCAGCAGTGCTCTTTATCCATATGTTGACCAGAAAATCTGCTTTCCACTGGACACAAACAAATTAAAACGAAAAAATAACCCTATATTCCATTTTATCAACGATGTTGAAGATGGACGCAGAGAGCTACGAGAAGCCCTTGAGTCTGCTCACAAACATCTTTGCGGGTTGAGAGAGAATTCTAAAGGATTTCTGAAAAGTCAGCATTTGGAGCATGGATCGGAATACATTGACTCACTCAAATTTCCTGAAAAGGTCCAGAAACGAATCATTGAAACTTTGAGAGAAAATTGGATTGAATTGGTTAACTATTGTTCAATGTCTCCCATTATAACAAAATTGACATCAGACTTCAACAATGCAGTAGTCAAACTCACTGTCAGTTATCTTAGGTCATTTTTGGGTGACAGCGGCTTCTTACAGATTTACCAGGTCCCGCCGGGCGCTGAGGTGGAGGAGGGAGATTATGTTCAAGTTAACAATACTTCATTTTGGTCAGAATGTATGTGTCAGTTTACCTGACTGTGAGAATCCAAGTTCAGCTTGAAGCTCACACTCATGTAACTTCAAACAATCACAAATTGTTGTCTTTTGTTTCATGATTTTCTCAGAAAAGTAAAAAAAAATGTATGTTAAAAATAATAAATAATCATTTGTATGAATTATAATCGTATGATTGTATTATTTATTTATTGTATTCTTGTTTTATTCAGTCCTGTGTGAATTGGCTTCTACTGCTTTTAAAAGTTCATCAATCACAACGTTATATGTTACTTGGTTAACATTTTTATTTTTGTTCTTGGCTTTTGAAACACTTTCAAAAGCCAACCTTACCTTTTGTGCATGAAATGTGCTTCTGTATATAAAATAAAGTTTGAATGATTGATAGAAATATCAATATGTTTTACAGTTACAGAAATACTGCACTAGAAAGAAGGTTGTAAATTGGTTGAAACAGTTTACAAAAGTACATGAAACAGCCAAGTGAATTCAGAGTGTTACGTTTAATACACCTCTCACTTTCGTTTCCTCAAAAGTATGATGCATAATTGTGGTACAACAATGGGTGCGGTTCGAATTTACTTGGAAAAACATACTAACTTACCCTGGCCAAGGTGAAAACCAGTTTGGTCTTGAATTTAGTAGTACACATATCAAAGTCCTCTGGTCTTTTTTAGGCTGTTCAACAATCATGGGCTGTAATATTAAAAGCCGCCTAACTGTGGGTATTTGATATTTATAGTATATTTTAACAACATTTCTGTTTCCTTCTAGCAATCCTTTCCACTTCCTTTGCATTAACAAGCTTATTATATACACACCCAGTTTATTATGATGTATCTGTTAAAACTGGTTCACTGAACGTGTTTATATTATTTGTTGATTAAGTCTATTAGTATTTGGGGTGAGATTCCCCAGCTGTTTCATGTACAAAAGTACATGAAACAGCCAAGTGAATTCAGAGTGTTACGTTTAATACACTTCTCACTTTCGTTTCCTCAAAAGTATGACGCATAGACAGTAAAGGCAGGAAGGACATAATCCACATTTGACTATACCCCAAAATCAGCAACTGGATCTCCTACCAAAATGAGTTAAATAAAATAATGCAGAAATGTTTTGACATGTTATACTATAAAACATATTTCTGACATACTATGTCTTACTTACATATAAACTATGTTTTATTTTAAAATATTATACAATTTGCTCTTATTGTACGTCGCTTTGGATAAAAGCGTCAGCTAAATGGAAAGTCATGCTATGACCTTTTCTCAGATATCTTATGAAACACGACAGTAATACTTTCTATGATATCTTTCCACATACTATACTTTGACTTTTTTCTCAGACATTCAATTATATCACCTTTTTGACATCTTTTGACATACTCTACAATTCATTCTTCAACTCAATATACTAAGACTTTTAATGATTCTTTCCAACATATGATTCAATGATTTTTTTTTTCAACATACAATACCAAGATTGTTTTATGACATCACATAACATGACTTTTTAACATTTTTGTGATACTACATTGTGATTTTTATTCAACATAACATGCCTTCTTATGATTTTATTTCAAATACAATGCCATGACTTATTTCGGAATGTTTCATTGACTTATTTTAAACCTGCGCTACTATGACTTTGTATGACATGATTTACTATGATCTTCTTTCAACATACTACTTTGACTCATAGGATCATAATATAGTATGATTTTGTATTATATTCACAACATACTATGATATTCTATGACATTGTACTACATACATTCATTTCATTTTTTTCGCCAAAATAAACTTTGAATTATTTTATGATATTTTTCCACATTATATGCTTTGACTTTTTTCGTCAAACCGGCTTGATTCAAGATTTCTTTCAACAAATTGACATTTTTTTCCAGATACTACTCAGATATTTCTTTTGGATATATTTCAAAATACAATAGCTTTAAATATTTTTGCAAAAGACTATATTTTGACTTTTTTTCAACACAATATGCTATGACTTGTTTTCTGATATTTTTGGACACACTAAACAGATTTTTACGACAAACTAGTTTGAATTTTGTTAAACATGCTATACTATACCTTTTTATGGTATTTTATAGTTTTTAAAAATACTACACTATGATTTTCTATACTTTTGAGTTAGTGTTTTTTGACATAAATATGCCTGAACTATGACTATGCCTTTTTTCAGAACCAAGTCATTCTCCAGCTGCTTTCACTTCAGACACAACAGCGCAAAATCAGAGCACTGCATTACATTACAAAAGTCGTATTTATTTGATTGTTTTAATTTAGTTTTTTTAATCAACCAAGATATATGGAGGTTGCTCCTTCCTCCAGCTACACAGGGATTGTTTTCAACAGCACAAAAGATAGTGACCCTCTGATTTGATTTCCTTTATTAGTAGTTTCATTACTGATACATGACCTTGTCAGATACCATTGTCTCAGCACACATTGTAATTATTTTTCACATGGAGCTTTAAGAATTGGCACAAACCATATACAAATGAAAATCCCTGTATACAGGATTGATTTCAAACAGAGGAAATAAATTAACACATTTCTGCAAATGGCATGGACACAAGATCAAAACAAAGGGTTGAATCCTGATAAGAAATCATGTCTTTTGTATGTTGTAAACAGACTGTTGGTCCTAAATACTTAAGAACCGGTCTGAGTAGAGTACTTAGCACGATATGTGCAAATATCAGTTTATACTCAGTCTGTTATTTCCTACTTTGTGAGGAAGAGAAGTTAAAAACAACAAGAAAATACAAAAAAACATGTTAAATATACAAAAATTAAATACAAAAATCAAGACGTCTAACACCAGAAGTCCACACTGGAGTTCCAGCTTCTTCAGGTCTCAAAACATAAGATTGGTCAAGAGTAAGAATTAAAAAAAGCACACAAATTATTAAAACATTAAATGTTTTTAAGCCCAGAGAATGAGTAAGGCAAGCAAGCTTATACTGTTTATACAGTGAAGATTATTATTTACATTGTGTTCACATCTTATTTATTAACTCTGCCAGCAGTTGAGGTGGGGTTTGTCTCCCCCTAGGGGTTCAGACTAGTGTTACTCTGCAGACAGCAGTGCTGAGTGCAGAAGTAGTATCATGCTTTTAAATCTCTCATTAGAGCTCTTGGAAGAAACCACCATAAAGGCAGTGGCTGGCAACCAGAAGAGCCCACCACAGAACACAAGTCCAGTATGTTGAGAAACACCTGGAGCCTGGTCTGACACTTCCTCCACATCTGGAACAACAGCACGGGGATCAGAAACATATTCCTCTGTCTCCTGATGTTGATTTTGGTTCAATTATTTCCATATTGCTTCGCTTAATCCTGGTTATGATATACATATTACAACGAGGCAGAGTGTCACCACGCAGCTGGGGAAAAGGAGGGGGAAAGTGCAGAGCTACTCTGTGACTTTCTAATGTTGAACACAAACAATACACACACCTCTACTGTGATGAAAGCAGATATGTTGCTCACATGACTACTGTATTGAACGGGGGTTACAGCTTTACCCTAAGAGGCCTGGCTATGAACAACCAAACATACTTTTTACCAACATCTTATGACCAAAAGAATAGAAGTGTGTTAAATAACAGGGTGGAGTCTATATGCAGGATAACTAAGCCAACACTAAACAAACCACTCCATCAGCAGTACTGTATGAGATGAAAGTCATATTAAAGCAGTGAGGAAGCAAGTTGCTGAGAGCGAGACGTTAACTTAGCAGAGTCAGACTCACTCAGGAGGTAAACAGGCCGCTGCAGGGAAGCTGAACTCTTCCACAAGCTGAGATGCCCAATATGCAAGAAGTTAAAATAGAGAACCAAAACAGTTTTGATCAAAGTCCTCCAGTAAAGCAAGACAACTGCATAAGCTAGGACATGGGGGGTGAGCAGAGCAGTAGTTATAAGTGACGACCTTTACGTGTGAAACAGCAATGAGGATGTTTCAACCACCTTCTTTCCCCTCAGTTAAAAAGAAAAAAAACTCAGGCACTGTAAACTTAAAGCCAACTGGTGATCACCGAAAACAACAACTCAGGATTTCTATCATGGTCAAGTGCAGATGAGGACTCAGACTTGAAAGCACCAAGAGAGTTTTTTTTAAGAACCATTCAGGAGTAACCCAGAAGAAACAAAATGGGGCCAATTGTAGTGAGGAAGGAGAAAGAATGTAGTATTTACTGGAGTTACTTCACCCAAAATCAGCCTCTATTGAGAATGCCACAATGAGAGCAACAGGAGGTGAATCAATGAGACTGGAAAACTGCAACATGGGCAGCTAACGCTCTGTGGGACAGACAGATGTGTAGGGGTAAAAGAAAAACGGAGCATTAATTAAATGTATGCCTAAACATTATCAGACTAAAAACTTGTCTAAAAAACATGGGCGCCTGTTGAATCTGGGATGAGCTCACAGTAAGCAAAGCGTGAGGAAAGAATGTGCAACAACCAAGCCAATGTTAAAGAACTGCTCCCAACCCAAGGGTGCCCACAGACAGTGTACCTGCACTTCTAAAAACTGCAAGAGTGACACATTTTCAGTGCTTGATATAAATACAGTGTATATGCGTTGGAGAGAGTGTCGGCCGCTGGATGGATCAGGTCTCATGGCGGCGTCTCTGCATTGTTAGTCGTGGTCTTTTTCTTCACTGGCTTCTTCACTGTCTTGGTTTGAGTCTTTGAGAGAGAGAGGAGGAACAGGTCAAATGAACAGTTGATTTCAACTACAAAAGGAAAGAGACACAACTATTCAATATAAAAATGGATAGCAGCTCAAACGGTTCAACCTAAGTTGGGTGAGACAAAGGGTTTTAGAAATCAAACAGAGTCTTGTCTGGTCTGAAAATAACCCTGACTGAAGTGAATGGGAAACAGAGCAAAGATTTAAGAGATTTCAATTCTGGAAACGGCATTTGTTCTCCAGAGGAAATGACAGAGCTGCCAATATCGTTAAAAGCAAACTTGCTAAAACTAGGATTTTAATCAGCTGTCTCTAGGCCCATTTTGCTGTGTGTGCGTGTGCGTGTGTGGTGTGGTGTGGTGTGTACGTGTGTGGTGTGGTGTGGTGCGTGTACGTGTGTGGTGTGGTGTGGTGTGTGTACGTGTGTGGTGTGGTGTGGTGTGGTGTGTGCGTGTGGTGTGGTGTGTGTGTGTGCGTGTGTATTGGCCTCACCTCCGTCTTAGCAGCAGGTTTCTTGGTTGTCTTGACACTGGTAGTGCGTTTGGGGGCTTTGTCTACTGCTTCATCCACTTCATCAGAGTGTTCAGTCCGCGTGTCTGATTGGTCGGAGCCGTGTTGGGATGATGCATCGTCGGCAAGGGACACAGACGCCAAGGAGCGGGCTGCAGGATTGGACAAACACCCAATGGCCACATTTTTAAAACAGGTAGTTTCCACCAGGTTTAAAGTTGGATGCTGGCTATACAGTATAATACAAATACAGATTGATATTATGCCACTTTTTTTTCTGGTTTTAGAGGCTGCATAATAGCTAAATTATCTTATTTTCCTGAATTAATTATAATTATTAATTTTATATAATTAATTCAGGAAAATAAGATAATTTAGCTATTATGCAGCCTCTAAAACCAGAAAAAAAAGTGGCATAATATCAATCTGTATTTGTATTATACTATATAGCCAGCATCCAACAATGTGTGCAACTTGGATATAGAGGTATTTGGTGAAAAATATAGTAATATTTGATTTTTTTCTTTATTGCCCTAAAATAAATAAATTACGGGGTATTCAGAAGTGCATCAATTTTAATGCATTCACAAAAGTGCTTTTTAGAGTGCCTTGGTCACAGTCTGCGGTTCTAAGCCATCGGAACCCCAAAGGGACTCTGGATTGGAAGTCCCTCACCAAATGTTTACCATCTACAGCGGTGGTTCTTCCGATCTTTGATATGTTGGAAGGGGACGCAAGATTAATCTGAGGGGGCATGAGATGATTTAAGGTATAAGACATTCATTTTTCCCGAAATAAGGATTGGGGCAACAAATTGCCTAAACTGCTTGCTTTGACCAATGCAAAATCCAAAGATTTTCAATTTACTATAAAATAAAAAAGTAGAACTCCACTTCTATTTACAAATGTGTTCTTTTTATGAATGAAAAATAAAATAATGTGCTTGGTAATAGTATGGCAGCTACAGGAGCATACTATATACAGTAGTTATTATTAAAAAAAAGAACTCATTAATTAACTGAAAGGTGATTGAAAGCTTTGAAAAATCAGTAAGAGGACCTTTGAAATATACTGTATTGTTCGGAAAACAAACATCCATGTACAAATCATCCTGAAGATTAGACTGGGTTTTGAAGTTCTCAACACGCTTTCTTTAGAAGTATAAACTACAATGTGCCACTTGGATCATTGTTTCTCTGCCTCTGTGTGTCGCTCAGTATTCAGTCCACAGCCTGTCAGGCCCACACAGCCAGCCAGCCGGCAGAGCAGTCACAAAGAGTCCTCCCACTGTAATCACATGCTTTCACCCCCCCGCCCCACTCCACATCTCCCCTTCGATCCTGCAGTGCCTTAAATCACATGACTCCACTTTGCCCCAGTCCTGCTCTGATGAGATTTAAACGAAAGAGGCCCTATGAGTAACGCTCCAGCCAAATCAGCAAACATGACATACAGGATGCATAGATTTATGCAGATGTGTATGGCTGTGTTTCTGCACACTAATGAGGCCGTGTGGGTTGAGTGTGTTGCGTGGCCTTACTCTGCCGTGCAGCAGTGCTCTTGGCCCGGGGCAGCGTGCTGGCCCCCGAGCTCATCGTGCTGGCCCCTGAGCTCATCGTGCTGGCCCCTGAGCTCATCGTGCTGGCCCCTGAGCTCATGTCGTCCATGGTGTCCCGTCTCTTGCGGGTCTCCGTAGTGTGCAGGGACAGCTCATCCTCAGCGTTGATGAGAGTCAGGTCCTGCATGCTGAAGCTCCGCAGCTTGTCCGACAGCACGCCCTGCCCCTGGGCATCGCAGCAAATCAAACACTCAGATATGTCACAGCATGGAAATATCTAATTCTGTCCGATTCAAATTAAACAAAACCAAGGATTTAAAAAATACCCTTGACATGGGGAAAGACATTTCCATGAAAACATCTGGCAATGACTTGAGCTGTTCACTAGACAACGACGCAGGGGCTGCATGTACGGCACTGGAAGTGGTTGGAGAGCTTAATGTCAGAACTATATTTCTGGCAAAAGACAGATTAATAATCTTCCTTGATTTAAAAAAAAAAAAGTTGTTAAATAATGGCGTCTAGTTTAACCCAAGACACATTCATGATGATAGCGCATCCTGGTACTGTAGTCTTCCAAAGCTAAGGAAGATACAACTTCAGGTCTCTAAATAAATACATTAGAGATGTTTAGGCCACAGCCCATGTGACCACATAGGGTGGAAACCATAGTTTAAACTTGGTTGAATTCACAACATTGATCTTGTACTGTAAACAACTTTATGTGACCATTTCAAGTTTTTTAACACTGCTATTGTCATGAAACACTCTGAACTGTATAATCTAGCGCTACAATAATTAGTCAAATCAAAAACTATTGGTCTGGGAGAAGAAAAAAAAAACATTTGAAGACTTTACCCTGGATTCAGGAATATATATTTTGCCACTTAATCAAGTAGAAATAAAAAAATAAACATCAATAATAGTGAAAAGGAAATATTTGTAATTACACTTGTAACAATTGATTTTTCCAAATGATCACAGCAGACCACTCACCTTGTTGGCCGCGGTGACAGCAGCATTAGCAGCGAGGTTGAGACCCCTCTTTCCAAACTTCATCATGGTGTCATAACTCCGGGCTTTGGTCTGCGCTATGTACTCATCTATCTCCTACAGCACAGGACAACAGATAAAGGGGGAAAAACACAATGTATTGGTACAAAGAAGACAATGACAATCAAAACAAATATGAGATACCAGTATAATTTGTGAGAAAAACCTAAAAGTTTAAAAAGGTCCAACCTTCTCTTTGTTGGACAGCGTTGGGTGAACAAATTTGCGGTAGAGCACACTGGAGCCTTTAGTGTATGGGGAGAGGAGCCAGATCACAAAGGCAATCTTTAGCTCAAAGTAAAATGGAAACCTGGGTAATGAAACAAGAGTTATACCATTAGCACAGAGAAAAAGAAAAGAAAAAACCTTGAAAGAAAAGTATATAGACCCCTGAGCTATAAAGAGATACAATTGGAAATGGTAACAATGATCTGATGTATGAAAAGGCAGAATGCATCATTAAAAAGAGTCATTGTAATACACGTATCAAGGACACAAGCTACATAGATGAATTATTATTTTAGAGTATTTATTACAAGCTAGTTTGGCACAAGGCGTGATCATGAGCAGCTCCTGACCCACCATGACAGGAGCAGATCTGTGGCCGTCTCTGCTGTAGTGAACAATGCAAACACTATCCAGTACATCATCCACTTCACCTGGAAACACACACACAGAGAGAACATCGTAAAAATAGCACATGAAAACCTACAGCATCCAGTGTGCACATGCCGAGACATGTGGACTAAACAGACGTGACAATGCAGAAGTGCAACATATGTTTCAGTCCTGTCAGATCACATCAGTATGCATGGATAAGGTCCCGGAGACAAAAGGGAAATGGAGGTCATTGTCCAAACTAAATGAAAGACCAACTTGCTTAATAGGAAACAATATCAAACGCCTTAGATTTAGTGGCACTGAGTTATCAATAATCAAATCATCTTGATGTATTAAATGTTAAACAAACGGTAAGGGTATGTTTAAGGGGATTTACAGGCTACATGCACGCAGACCTATAAATAAACATAATGATAAAGCATGTGACTCATTAGAAACAAGCCAAACACGAGGGAAGGGGAATAAAACATCCCGATTCTAAAAATGGCGTCCTCCCTCCTCCATCCCCTCATGTGCTCCTTCTTTGGCCGTCAGCTAGAGCAGCCATTGGGGGGAAGGGGGGGGGGGGGGGGGGTTGCCATGGTAAACTGCCAGGAGGAGACCGTTCTCCAATGCAAATCTTCTATCGGCTTGGTGTTAATGTCTTAATTGTATTATTATTAATAGTAAACATGCTGCCGTTTTAGGACATCATGACAAATAAGAGAGTGTACATTTGTACTGCAAATTATTTTGGCATCAAGGGGGTGGTTTCATGCACTTGACAAGCTCTGGGTGTCTTAGGCAAAACACTTCCCTGACTTTTGTGTTTCTCAAACGTAAAATACATTTCCTCTTTTAAAAAAGTGTATTTTCTTCTGTCTTAAAAAGTCAATATTGAAGAAAGTGGTTTTTTTTGTATTTCCATTAAGGTTCATCTTTGTGTGACCCATCACATTAATTTCCTAAACAAATTCAAATGTGTCTTTTGAAAACATGAAATCCATGTAAAAGAAGAATTAGTATAAACATGTGAAGGTATTACTTTGTCTTTTAGTCATTGTGATGCCTCAGTGACCCAGTTTCATGAAGGTTATCTGCTGTGACATGCCGTCTGTGAGATGCTCATTTGTATTAAACATGCTTGGTATTTTGGTTAGCGAATTTTTTTGTGATAGGGCTCAAAGAGACAGAAAGGGCCGTGCTGCTAACATCAAATACACCAAATGATTCATACGTGTCCTCCTTTTAAGCTATGGCAAGTGTGTGCCTGTTCTACATTTTCTCCGTGGGCTTTGTATTACATTACTTTCTGCAACGTGCATTTCAAACTTGAAAACGCTATCTAATAAACAGCAAACTGCAGCCTGGGGCTTCACATCTTAAAAGTTAAAACTGAGCAGACAGGGCTCAAAAGCATTCTGCTGTGATTTTGTAACCAGAGGTAATACTCACATATTCCTTCACGTTCTTCGTTTTGACAGCCTTGTATGATGAATATGCTGGGTAAAGTGTCCCAAAGGCAAGGCTGCAAAAAGCAGAGAAGTGTGGGTCAGACAGAGGAGGGGGATTCAGCTTGACAACATGGCCTCTGGGTGTTGACACCTAAGAAATGTGTTCCTGCTTAAAAGCAGGTTAGCTAAGTCGGCTCTGATGTTGTCACAGTAAAGAGTTGATGGGCAGTGGCTTGTCAAAACACACGTCAGATTATTGGTACAAAAAATATCATATATCATTTAGTCCGGAAGACTGCAGCAAGACAAACTGGAAAAACAAACAAAAGTGAACCAGGGGTGGGTCACCATGTGTTGGCCCATGGGCAGATAGGGACACACACAGAGCCTTTGATGTGCATTTGGTCACGTCCTGTACCACTGTGGTGATTTGTGGTGATTTGTGCTGATGAGACAGGATGCTACAGTAAATGCTGAGTGAAGGGCTAACAGGGACAATAGAGTCCAGAAAGTCACTAGTTTGTCTGTGTGTACATTGTAAAACTACTGATTTTGACTTATGATACTTAATCTGAACCAAAATAAACAGTTCTCTGTCAGAGTATCTGACCTGCTCAGTCATGTGTGCAGCGCCTCACAGCTTTGTACAGTAAGCTGAGGAGACTTGTAGCAGGCCTCTAGGCCGTGAGACTCCCTCAGCAGACGGCCCGAGCCCCTCTGTGTCCCATCTCAGGTTCACCTCACAGAATTTGACAGCATCCTGTCCTCTTGCTAAGACTCCAAAATCAGAGATATTGAGCATAAGTAAGTCATTTAGCTACTTTCAGGTTTTTTTGGTAAGAACTAAATTAATCCTTTCTCTGCATGATTACCCTTTTAAGAAAACAAGGAGGAAGCTATATGTTTAAAAGCAGACACATTATTGATCTTGTGTTATATGTGCAACAGCCAATAATATGCAAATCTGTTCACATTGTCTCCCACCGACACAACTTTCTGTGGTGTAGTAAAGTAGAAGAGCCAGCTGAAATACACTAAAAATATATTTTTGCCATTGTTATCCTCTCTTTATGTAACCCAGACAAGCAGAATATTTGTAATCAGTTACATCTACACCTGGGCCTTTCAAAGACACCATCGTCTTTATTTATTTATTTATTTATTTAACAGGGACAGTGCACATTAATGAACATTTCTGTAAATGTGCCAGAGTTAGCCAAGAGGCTATTTTTCATCTGTAGTCCCTCAACAGATTTTCTGGGGGTTACACTGACAAGCTTTACGACATCCTGGTTAAATCTACAAAACATTGAAGGTGTAATGCATCTTGTGGAGGCAGAGTGATCAGACAACACAATCCTGATTGAAAACTCAAACACATGATATAAGACGACACTAAATGCAGGAAAAAATGTCTGCATAAGGGTTCAGCTGCTAGCTTTAGTTGAGTCATCCACACTGTGGGGATGTAGTGTGTACAGGTGGAAGTCTAGGCCTACACTGCTGGTACTACTCCACAGATCACAGAATTTGTAAAGTCACTCTAACATGTGGTAATAATGGAAAAAATACATATTTTCTGGCTCTGAATAAAGGTAAAATCGTGGATGGCTGGATGGAAGGAAGGATGGACAGACTGACATCCATGACTGGGCTGCTGGGCTTAGCCTCACATTATACACACATTGGTGATCTACAGTCCAGTAATATTTAGGCTGTGGTGTTTTCTAAAAGCTGTTTGCTTGTCTGCAGCGAGGCTAGCATATTAAGCAGGTTCCACTTGAATAATGTGGGCAGCCAGCAGCTTCTTCCCTGCCAACACGTTATGTGTCAGGTGGTTAGCCAGCAGACGTTAGCTACCAGAGGCTAGCATTGGCTGGATGCAGATTGCACTGCATCACTGTAAACAGAGCGACGGTTTATATAGGTTAGTATAGATACAGCTTAGCTCTGTGTATAACTAACACTTTAGCCCACAGTATTTTTCTATATTACTGAAATGTAACTCTATAGGGACAGACAACATATGCTAGCTTGTTGGCGCGGCGTTGAGCCTCAGACAGCTGATGGATGGAGGAACCGCTGCTTACGTTAAAGCACAACAACAGATGAAGCCCGTACTCACACAACCATCCTCGAAATCATCCAGGAAACCATCTTTCTGGTGCTCCGAAAGCCTTTACCGCTTCAAGGGGAATCTAGTTATTTAGCTAGCGGGCTAGGTGCCCCCCATTCCCGACCAGGACGCGGTCTGTGATTATCGATGTGAACCGGGAGGCTGTCCGGTGCTGGCTGTCCAGTGCTCGGTGCTGTCAGGTGGGCAGCGGCTGAGGATGTGCTGCAGTCTCCGGCTCACTCAGCTCTCTGCTCTCACCGCTGCTGAAGAGCTGGCTCTTAAAGGGCCAGGGCCTCACTGGGAAACGTGTCAAAAAAGGGGCCCTTACGTCCTCCTATGAGTCCTTTTCAGTAGGCCTTTTAATCAAGTGAAGTACATTTACTCAAGTGTTGTACTTAAGTACGATTTTGGAGTACTTGTACTTAATCATTTGACTAATGACTGTTATATACCACACTCCACTTTACAGTGCTACACTTATTTTTATTGTAATACTGCTGCTGCTACTTAGTATCAACTACTATGTGTACTTTTGTAAATTGAATTTATTTTATTTTAAATACTTTGTGCATGCCTTTTTATACAAAAGTGTTATAATGTATACTTTGCCAACACATGTCCCCTTGACTAATAAGGAATTCTGATTCTGAAAAAGGGAATTCTGATTATTTGAGTATTTTTATTTTATGCTACTTTGTACTTCTACTCCACTACATTTTGGCAGCAAATTGTTCTTTTTATTACACTATATTTACTTGACAAAACGAATTACTAGTTACTTTAGAGATCCAGATTATTAGCCAAAACAAAAATGTAAATAAACTGTTAAGATTCCCAGCAGCAGTATATAAAGTAATTAAAATTAGCTTCACCTTTAACAGCAGTGAGGAACACATTAATGCATAAAAGTAATTAATAAATATGATTCTAATGGGACCTTTCGCACAATCAGTACTTTTAACTTGTAACAGAGTATTTTTATACAGGAGTTCTACTTTTCAGTTCTTCTTACACCACTGGTCCTATCCATTGACACACTTGATCAAATAAGCTTAATTTATTAGTGGCCGTGATAAAAGAAGCAAGATGCTTATGTGACAATGAAGATTGATTTTTTTCTTGACAGTGACTATTGTTTAAAAACAGGCAGCTGCATACTTTAAAATTAGACAAGGCAGAACTGCTTCAGCCCCCAACTGAAAGGGCCAGAAACAGCAGTGTATTTATAAATATGTTTAGATATAAAATATTTTAAATTATGTTTCTATTCAACTCATTGTAATCTGTAAAAGGCCTCGAAAGTTTAACTGTACCACCTACTTCCTGTTCAGAGGAAGATGGATGGCTACTACTTAATTAACCTGTATGAATTGTTTTTATTGTAAATTGAACAGAGTAATACATGTAAGTAGTGTGCTGATCATTTTGCTTTTACTTACTTCTTCTACCACTGCCTATATACCAACAGAAGAAAGGATGCCACGTAAAGCAAGGTGGCATTTGCCTAGGCCCCCCCTCAATCATAAATGAACATGCCAAGTTGTAAAGAGATCCTGTTTGTAATACAACATGATGGCTCTTTGTTGGTTTGAGTTAACTGTACACACTCCACACTTGCACCCCCCCCTCCTTAGTTAGGTACAGTACACTCAAGCCTCCCTGGCCCACTTACTAATTCAGAAAGAGCAGTAAAAGCTAGGTCACACAAGGACAGATATAACAGGGTGTTGCAATATTAACCCTATGGAAAGCCATTATTTACTAAGTTGCCTTTATAAACCCTATTAGAGTGGGAAATAATAAACGTAAGGACTGATCAAATAAGATTAAATGTATCTTTGTCAGATTTAAAATGTTATTAGGCTCTCAGAAAAGGCAATATTAAAATTCTTCCACAACTTCATTCAAAATGAAAACTCACGGACGATATTCAATGCCACGTAGATACTTAAATGAAGAAAGACATTCAGTTTAACCGAAGTACTGAAACAAATACTTCATCATCGATATCATTTAACAGAAAAGTGCCAAATGTTTTAGTAATTGAGATTGTTTAAATCAGTAGAATTGGTAAAGGATTTGTAGTTTTTCTGTTCCATTATTACTGTAAACTGATTTTTTTGGACTTGATCAAAAAGATGAATTGATAATGAAAATAATAGTTGCAGCCCTGATTCAGATATGAAAATACATGTCCATGCTTTAGACACCATAGCTACACACAGAGGTTTTTTTGTGTCACAAACAAACAGTAAACAAACAATAGTTTTTGTAAACTTTATTGTGAAAAATCAAAACAGACTGCTAAGATCAATATATATATTGATACAATGTTAGTGGCCAGTAGTTCGTTTCTGCTGCAATTGTGATTCTTAAACAAAGCTGTTGGAGGTCTGCAGTTCAATTCAACCCATGGGACAATTATAGGTGACCCAACAAATTAAACTAAATAAATCAAACCTGCCCTATCTGAAGTCCTTCCGATCATTGCCTTGTGGTGAATAAAAAGAAAAAACGACTTAATCTAAAAGTGAAATAAGAAAACGAAAATACAAAACTTTGGTCTGCTTCCCCTCACTTGCTGCTTCGTAAATTAGTTTCAGCCACAGAGGGCAGGAGCAATCAGCTGTTTGAAAACAAAAATTCTACTAAAACAACTTAACCTTGCTCCTATTTAAGAAAAAAATATTTCAGCGTCATCTTTATTGGAAAGTTAGCACAGTACTCACGTTTTGTCAGTCACTTAAATGTTAGCTGAACCTCTGCTCCAACGTAAAGTCAGCTGTTACCTCCCCAACTCCCACATCTTACATATACAATGAAAACAACCAAACAGAAAAAACTGACCTTAAATACAGAGTTAATCAAAATAATAATAATTGGAAAACAACTAGACAAGTTTAAGCAAACTGCGTTACAGCGTTAAAGGGCTTCCTTCATCAAGTTGCTGACAAGCCCATCGCCGTCTAATCCCTCCCCAAATCAAATGTTCTTTTTCCCCTAACATTCACTGCCCCAAAAAACATACAGCCTGTACTTGTGTATGTAGGGTGTGTGTGTGTGTGTGTGTGTGTGTGTGTATGTGTGTGTGTGTATGTATGTAGGGTGTGTGTGTGTATGTGTGTGTATGTATGTATGTAGGGCGTGTATGTGTATGTGTATGTGTGTGTATGTATGTGTGTGTATGTGTATGTGTGTGTGTGTGTGTGTGTGTGTGTGTGTGTGTGTGGTGTGTGTGTGTGTGTGTGTGTGTGTGTGTGTGTGTGTGTAGTGGTCTTCAGACGCTGGTTGTTTTTGGGACAGCGTTGAGTGAGAGGAACTAAGGGCGTCTAGGTTCATGGGCCTTCAGTGTCCCAACAGCGTCCTTCACTGCATGAAAGATGATGTTCTTCACCTGAGAAAATATATATGAGAAAAAAAGAGTCCGTTAAAACAAAGACATGGGAGACAAAAACGCCTCATCTAAATTTCTTTGGTATACTGCTGTGAAAAAACACTAAACAGACATAATTCACTGGTTAGTGAAATGCATGAGAGAAAAGCATATTGACCTGTAGCTTGTCTTCGTGGTTTGTATGAGTAGTGGACAGGTGTCTGAACTCCTGGGTCAGTCTGAAACAGTGCTTCACGTGCTCAGGAGACACAAAGTCCTCTGCCACCTTGATACAGCTGTACAGGTTGTGCACCTGGAGGGGAAGAGCAGAGAATGAACAAATATGCTACTAAAACAAGATAAATAAGCATCTTGAATGATCTGAATAAACGGATTTCTAGCAAGCCTCTTTAATATAACACAACATGTCTTACCTGGTGTGGAGCTCCAGCAGGGATAAACACGGCATCTCCTAAGAACTGTACAATGGCCCAACCCTGGACGCCGTATTCTTCATAGAGCCTGCGGCGGAGCACCTGGTCCAGGTACCAGCTCTGGTCGTGAATGGGGTCGTGGTCTGGAGGGTTCTCTTGACCCTGCTCCTCTCCCACCTGACACAGAAACAATGACCACCATTATCTTTGGTTGTTGTTTGAAATCTGCTGAAATCTTAGATTGATAAACAAGCATGTAGTGGAGGGTGATGAGGCTTAAATTAATGCAGCTCAGCCAGCATGAAGAGGATTGTTTTTCACTATCAGATTTTTGTTTGTGTTACAATGACTGACATCAGGCCATCCAACCCCCCAGGAAGATCGTCAAACTTTAAAAGCCAAAACTGTGGGATTACAATGTTCACATTCACATGATGCCAGTGGGCCCAAAAGAGGCATCCCTATCGTATTTATTTTAAGAATAAATCAGGTTATTTTCCTTCCTCTGGTCATGTGAATGAGCCCGAAAGCGTAGCAGATGGGAGCTAAGGTTAAAGAAAACGCTAGCGATGCAGAAGCTCGCTGGAAGATCAGGGTAACTCTGACAGCAGTCAAATTAGACCACTTAACAACTTCCACAGGAATGAGTGGGGCCAGCCTTCGACGCTGCAACCATTTATTTGTATACATATTTGCAGAGGCCCCTGGGTCTGAGGTTTAAATATTTTACAAGTACAGCCAATTACAATGCAGCTTCAGAGACACAATGATAACAGAAATCTGCTTGATGCTGACCTTGCGGAGCAGCTCTCTGATCTTCTCTGCATCCTTCGCAGCGTAGATGTGCCAGAGAGCTCCAGGTTTCTCCTTTTGCTCGTACACCCTCCTCTTGGTCATTTCATCCACATCGCCCTCCTCGATGGTGGTCATGACCTCTGGAGGAACAAACATAAACAACAACAGACACACATAGATGGCATCAAAGGGTCAGCGGCAGTGTCTACGCAATGACCATGAAGGGTTTTATAGTAGTTTCCTCTTTATTGCTGAATTTACACTGCATGGCCGCGGCTGTCCTCGACTCAACCCACTCTTATTTGGTTTTCCATTATCAAGGGTTGTAGATCTTAGCTGGTACTTTTTTTTGTATAACCTCAGTCGACGTTCCCAGCAAAAGGCGACGTTAAAACACTGCAGAGCACTGATTGGTCAGATTGAGTGGCACAAGACCAGTAGAGCTTAAATAGTCAAGACACCTTCAAAAGCATTTTGTTTTTATACACTCTAAAATGGCAGTCTGTTAAAATATGCCCTACAAATGATGACGTGTAGATAGACATTCCTCTGTGTTGCCGATGAAAGGATTCAGTGTCACATCACATTCCCGCCTACACTGAGGGGCTACTATCTGCAGGGGAATAATATAGAGAAAAGGCCTGGTAACAAGAGTGAGTTGACTTAAGTCTAACCATGCAGTGGACATGTGGCATCAGTGGTCTCATGATTTGGGTT